GAAAATAATCCGACGTCTACAAGCAATGTCCACTTTAGCGTTTGTTCAACCTGAACACACACGATTTAAACATTAACGCCTTAAGTTCGGACAAGTGGAGTCTCTCCAAGTATATACCAGCGCGTCCTAACTATTCTGGAACCACACACAATAATAACACTCTCTAGCTAATAACCCCATAGGGATCGGAATGGCGCTACTATGAAGTGTTCCCAAGAGCACTGCTGACCAGGTTTGTTTTTATTCATTTGCGAAAGTTTACCGTTAGTTTAAAACGAACAGGTTTTCTATGTGTGGTTCGTTGCCAAACAAGAGTTCGTAAAAGTTAACCTTACTTTCAAAGGGAGAAAACTTTGGCCAGCATAGACTGATTAGACCGAATCAAAGCCGGTTTTGTCTACTGGGTTTTCACGACTTGTAAGATGGACATATTTCAAAAGATGTTGGTGAGTGGTTTTTAATTGTTACTGACCACTCCTAATTTCATTTGAAGGATTCAATTACGGGGAGCGTCATTAAGAATAAAGTTCATCACATGGATGACTGAGTGATGAGTCTCTGGGGCACGTGCCTTTCTAACAGAACTTCAGCAGAATAAAGTTCACTTCTGGCCACCCCGTAGGATACGAATCAATTGTGTGGTGAAATGTTTGGTACAAAACTTTGCAAATGTACCCCACTTTAAGAAGCAAATGTTTCTTTGGCAACAAAGCTGAAAATAATCAGGACAAAAAAGAAATTTTATGACGTTAGAATGAGGCCAGCTGGATTATCATTCCATGTTTAGTTGCAATGCTATACGGGCAGAGAGGCTGCCTACACGAAAGAATAAATCCGCAAAGCGATTCCAACATTGAAAGTGCAAAAATTTGCTTCGAAAGCCAAACTCGTATTGGGGTAATCACATCCCTTTGAAAACGATCAACGTTAGGTTCACCTGGAATAATAAGCTATTAATGATTTTTTCTAGAAAAACAATAAGCAACATGGACATTACAGGTACCCGAAAATCAAAGTTCACCCCTCAAATACCGATAATAAAGCAGTGGATGATGGCCTCGAAACAGTAGCCACCCGTGAATCTGACAACTCAATTAAGTACAAACTAAATGCTGATTTTTGGTTAGTCAGTTTCGTTGGCTATCATCATACTCAGATAATCTGATATTGAAACGGTTGAGAGTAGTCATAATAAAAGGCAAAATTCATAACTTTCAGTCGATTCTACTTCTGTTTGAACTAGGCGCTATAAATCAAAACTACATGTTCAGATAATGCAAAACCTGGAACCGTGAATTTCAACCTTGCGAGTACTTTTTACCGCTCACTGTAATCGGACTGTTCCCAATAACTTCAGAACTAATCTTCAGACAAAACATCAACAAAAAACCCTAATAATATTCCGTTAAATCACATTTAACCCGGAATTAAAGCGCCATAAGTAATCACATTATCATAAGAAACAGGTGGCATAACCGGAAGCCAACGTTAAACGTTACATCACCGTTGGGCAACTAGTCAGGAGCCATCCATAATTGAATCCTGTGTGTGTAAACCTGCCCTCTTGCGAAAGAACGAGCTTTTTCCACTGTCTTGTTTCATATTGTCACAAAAAATGTTTCGACTTTTTCCCTTTCCTATGACACACATGAAGCAGCTTTGATTACCGACATCTGATACCTGCATTATTCTGTATTTGTGAAACGCACGATGCTGCGTTACGTTCAGTTCAAAGGAAAAAGAGCTTCACTAACCGTACAATTAGTACCTTAATCACGCCGCTCCTTGACGATAGCACGCAACTTATCATGCACGAGCATCTTTCACTATTGAGGAAAACAAAATAGCTGTTCGTTCACAAAAACTATATATCCGTTTTTGTCACGTACTGCCTGATAAAATTGCTCATGTAATTTTTGCGCATGAGCAAAGAGTTAGAAGGTAGTGGGATGACCATGGGTACAAAAAGGTTTGGGTGTGACCAAATATAGCCACTCATGTGAAAAAGGGAACGAATGTACACAACAGACTGAGGAAAATAATGGTATGTGCTGCTCACCGGGAAGTTCATTTGCTACTTGCAATAACAAAACACTACAAAAATGCGTCGATGTAGCTTGGTCAGTGCGTGTTCGGGTTTCCGCTTTAATTTCTTGTCAACAAATTCTATATAAAACGTGGCATATTTAGTTGATCATTTGCGAAGCCATTTCGTTGTTCTTTTATAAGTCAACCAGGCGTACATTCGAGTTACTCACAATACTTGGATGAATGCCATTAACTTAAACGGGCACGTCTTTGAGACACAACTACCTGTCTTCCTGAATTTTACAGTTTTTTTACGATGATATTAGTGCCAGTCCAACATTCTGGTGACGGAAGCCACCACTGTTTTTCGAGGCCGTAAAACACCCTAATCGTTTCGAGGCTGAACCGAACCTGAAATCCTACCGTACAGTGTCATGAAATGATTTTTCCTTGGAACAGAACCCACTTTAAGGTCGCTCCACAAATCCCGGCTTAAATGATGTTTACATTCCGTTTATACCAAACATCAATTGGGCTAACATAAAAATAGTAGTCGGTATATTTGTCCATGTTCAGTTGGTATGACCTCAGTGTCAAGAGTTATACTAGTATTACAATAAGCAATGAATGACTTGCAGGAATTTAATCATGCCTTAAGAGCAATTGCATTTTTGGCAACCGCTATAAGCATTTCCACATGGTAACTGCAGGCTTGACGAACGCGAACAAGATGCAGATAATTTGGCGGCTATATCCTTCTAAAATTGCCTCTGTCTAGTCGGAGGCTGTTTGGACCTTAATCTACAAACAATGTGAACCAGTCTAAGTCACGTAAAATTGAATCCTTCAGTCTTTCTACTTTAACAGTTCCACTTATCTTGGTGATTTGCTCCTTTGAACATTAGCGACATTGCACAACCAAGTTCACCCATCTTGGGACCATCATGTAGGACAGAAGCTTGTTGTGGGCCGTCAGAGAGTTTTCAGCAACTTTGTAGCTGCTTTCCGTCAATAAAATATCAGAATAAATTTTTAAGGTATCCCGGATGTTTGGTGGTAAATGATTTGCTTGGCAAAAGTAAAAAATCATGAGGCAGAAGAAGTAGGCAGCCTATAAAGTCAAAATTAAGACAAGAGAGACAACTTTCCTTTGCTGAAAATGTTTTTGTGTGCCACTGGTAAAGAACAGAGTATCGATAGCACCTGTAATTTTGTTCTTACCCAAAACCAAGAAGATGAACCAAGACACAGTAACCACAAGCCGGAAATGACAGCGGCAGTCCAGCTTTTGGTTTATTCGTAATTAGTGACGTATAATTTAGCTATGAAATGAGCTCGAGACCGCAAACAGACAATTTTTTCCTAAATGTTTGCGTCGCAACAGAACCTGAATTGTGTAAGACAGGTTGGGTTATTCGAAAATGATTAGCCAGTAATGATAAAGATACAGGAGTTAATTGAATGAGAAGTATAGTGACGTATGTTAGTGGCTGCACTAGTTAGTTGTTTATCTGTTCGTCCAACTTGATAATTTTATTGCAAACGTTTCATCACAAAGGTGATGCCATCAGTGCTGGGTTGACGGACTAGTGCACTGACAATACCATCTCGGTCAGTGAGGAAGCGTTTGCAATCCAGTTGCTAAGCTTGGCAAACAGAGTAACAAAAAGAATGTTCACTTCGGAAGGTGAGATAGAAGGGTTCATGAGCGTGGAACTCTATCTCGCTTGAAACATACCAGATGGCAACTCCGGCCTGTGCATTATCAACATACACACAAAGTGTGAACACTTGGAGCAGTTAGAAGAAAAATTTGCATAATGAAGTTGCATGGAAGGCCATAATTAGGAAAGGCAACGTGCGATAGCAGGTGATGGAAGAAACAAAGATCCTGTGATAGCGCTTTTTTCGCCTTAGAGACTGATGTATGGCGATTGATTGGAAAATGCACCATCGTCGGCCGGTTTAGAGCTTTCCGTGATCTACGTTCAAATTCCTCTCTTCTGGGTCTGTGCCATACCTTTCAAAACGGTTATTGGATTTATGATTCTAAACAAAGAGATGAGGCGGCTGCCATTGTGATACTGTAAGAGGAAACTCACGCAAAGTAGTGCTCTTCATTCAGCTTGATTTAAATTCATTTGTCAATGGAAGACACGAAATCCCTTCCTTTGTGTCCGATATCTGTGAAGCAGTGCTTCTCAAAGTGTCAAATGTATTTTTTGAATATACCTGAGCATTCAATGCCCTTGGCCATCCAAGACGGGAGAAATGCTTTACTACCTGCCCGAAATTATGTATATTTTATATTTACTCTGTCTATAGCTGTTTATTATAGTGGATTATTTTCACAATGTTTTATGAAACTGAAGTCCCGTATCAAATTGTGAATTACGGTAGTTGGTTGTTCACAAAGTTCGGGGCAATCACATCATGCTACTTAGAGAAAAAAGAGATCAAACATTTTTGGCTAAGTACCTTGCGGTTATCCAACATACTTTTGTACCCAACCACATACCAAATAGGTGGATTTTACGAATGTACAACGTATGGCACCCGCGACGTTTCTTTACCACTTTCTAGGTTGCTTTGTACTTCCGACGCTAGACCCATCCTTTTTAAGTGTTAAAAGTTCACTTACATGGCCTGAACATGTTTTAAGAAGCTGTTTTAGGCTGGTAGTGGTATTTCGGTAAATGAATGTCAATGATGTCAATCTGATTTGAACGGCTTTTTAAGAACGAAAGTCGCTATTAGCTGCCCTGCTCGGTGAAAATTGTTTTCACTTGGGTTGACGCGATAGAGTAGGCTAGTTTGATTAAAGATATCATCTTTATTCATTGTTCGTTGCTAAGTAAGACGCGCTGCAATCCTCGAAACTTTTTTCACGCCCATCTGTGAAATAGGGAAATAAAACTGTTGTTGTTAAACCTTACAACTGTGGTAGTGTCCAGAATAGTTACTTGACTTACCTGATAATTTAAGACACTGCATAGCTCTGATTGCTGATCTAGTTTGGTTTTGTCGCTGTAAGATTTCATTAAAATAAAAAATATGTGCTTGGTAAAACCGTTTTCCTGTTTTAGGGTTCCGTTCCAGTGATTCTCAATAAATGTTAGCTACTTTAGTTTTTTGCATGTTAATCCTGCTATTCGAGGTTCAGGCTACAGTAGAAGTCGACAATGCCGTTTACGTTGCTCTTTGTACCATGAACAATGGATGAGTTTACGCTCCAATACGTTCCACGATAACACTATTTCTGAATGGAAATGCACAAAAACGAATTTGATTGATGCTGCAGCACTATGAAAACTTGTCAACTAATAAGGTATATGCTCACTGCTATTTTTTCCATTCAGGATTATGCTTCAATATTACTGTACGATTCGAATGGGGCTTAAAACCAAATTCAGCTGACCTTATTGGGTGAAGGGCATCAGATAAAATCACTGAAACACGTGGTGGATTGAAACATTGGCAGCTCAGGTGAACTGATTGCTCGATGATCAGGTGGCTGATGAATTATTCATTGAGCATTGCACTGGTTTGCAGAACGGCATCCAGAGTAGAGGAGATATCGTCAGTGTATAGAGATTGCTTTCACTCTACATGAACTCAGGTTGAGGATGAAATTGTTTGAAAAGTAAATGATTTCGTCGAGTAAAATTCTGTGCCCTGTAAAAGCAAACTGTTGTGTATCAGATGAATATGGCGATCACGTGAAGCCCAGTTTCAGATTTCGAATACTTTGCTTACACATCAGAAGGCGTTAGGAACATTTTTGACCATTCACTGGTAGAAAAGTGCCAGTCAATTTAACTTCACGTGCTAAAGTAGAAAACCTTTTGAATTTTTCGTCCTGTGGTCAACTTCTCACTCTCACACTCGAAAAGTCAATCGGTCATCAATCAATCCTATGCTGTCCACTGAAAAATCTGGAGGAGCAGCCATGAATCTCTATGCTTTTGGATTTGAGCCGGAGGTTCCTCTAGAAATCTGAACCTGTATGGGTGCTCGTTTTTGCACAGATACTGTCGTTTCAAACAAAACATGCTCCTAAAGGGCACGCCAACATGAAAACTACATGTGATTTAACTGACCGCTCTACCCAGGTTGAGTTAGCGTACACGTTCTTACCGCGTCCTCGACAACTCGGCAATAAGCTTATAAACCGTAAAAATAAACGTAACAAAACACAGCCGAACGGGACATTGGTTTATACTGATCCACCGGACATCAGAACCAAGGAACTAAAGAGAACTTGGCGGGCTATACTTCTGAACTTACTTGTTAGGCTCTGGTAGATCTTTCATATCAAACGGCTGTTTTCCAACAACTCCACTTCTGTGATCGCTCATGATAAGCATGGGTACCTGGAATTCCGTATGGCTGCCTCCTCGTGGGGATTCTTGATATTTGAAAACAGGCAAAAAAGACAAGTTGGCGTTTCCTCCTCCCTGTGCCGCACCAAATTTCTTTTAACATTCATGCTACACCGGTTTGAACCATAACACAACAGTTACTTCTCTATATATATTATTTGAAAAAAGTACATTTTCAGTGAGTTACATGCTACGGAGATCTGAGGTGATCCCACGCTCACTGGTTCACTTTAACAGTGGAGCAATTCAGTTTCTGAACACTTGCGATGCTGATCAAAAGATCAGGAATCATTCAGTCTGACGAAACCATTTTGCATTTTACTGATGGCTCACTTGAAGGATATAACCCTAAATAAAGTAAGGTTGTATGAGCATAAAACACGCCATAACCAGAATAGGTCTGACTTTGTATCACTGGGGACAGTAATCCAAAAATATGCTTTATTAGGCGTAGGAATAAAGCAGATTGACCCCGTCGTAGGGAAATGTTAATAGAAGCGGTATAAAATGCCACGACTTATGTATGGATTTTTTCCCCTCCGTGTACATGTCAGCAGTTATTGAACCACTTTTTTCCAAAGCACATACCACGTTTCTTTTTTTCATTTCAACAGAATGTTATCAAACTTTCAGACTGTCTCGCACAAGAATATAATTGCTCGTCTAATGATCTGATGAGCAATTTGATTTTTCCCTATCTATTTACGGTTATCAAAAAGGAATGGGTGCGGTGATAGTTAAATCAAATGACCACCTCTTGGTCACTTCTTCGTCGAATGTAGATTGGTTGTTGTTTGGTCAACCAACCAACAGCGCACTGAATATGTCTCCTCGAATGGTGACGAAACGTTTGCAAATCAATTGCCAAGCTCGACGAACAGATCAACAGCCACCTGATCAACAACCAACTAATACACCCTAGCTACCAATATTCCAACACATTACGGAGGTGACTATTTCAATAAGATCGACGAAAATTTCGACTGCCTTCATTGGGAGAATTTTCTAATATCCATCAAATGTAAGACAACATGTTCCATGGGATGCTCATGAGCTGGATACTAGGGCGCCTAACGCTGTGCCTTTAAAATGCTGAACCACATGTATTTTAGAGGAAGTACTAACGAAACGCAAACCCAAGTTACGTCGCTTGTAGCTAAGAACGCAAGCTCAAAAACTTGCTAATGAACAAATACTATTCCCGAATTGCCCTGTCTTCCCAAAGTTGTTTTCCACTTCTCAGTGAAGTGCTCTTCTCTTTGATGTACATGTAATTAGCGTGACTTCAAATTAGCCAAAACAGATTGGTTTAGAAAATGCCTGCGGCAAAACTGATTCGAGCACTGACATCTATTTTATTATGCTAACTTTAATCAAAGGCTGATAATCTTGACAAGTAAGATTAACTCTGAAAGATAAGAAGCCTACAAAGATAGCAGCCGATTCCATAGACGCAAGATAAACACAACGGACTGGATCAGCGGATCAAAGCAACCGAAAAGCAAGAACGGCTACGAACAGGCTTAACCTACGAATTGGTTTACTTTGAGCTCAACTTTGCCGTTGCCTTGATAATCGGAATGAGGAAATGGCAACTCGGTCGTTGGTGAGGTTGCCGTTGATCTGTTTACTGAACTTGACAATTGACTTCCGAACTTTTTGCCGTTATTCGAAGTGACATTATCCGTCCACGCTTAAGTGGATAATACCTCATTGCCGGTTTGATTCTATACAGTTTTCAAAAGCTAATTTGTATTCCTTTTTTTATTGACTAAGTGAACCACATATTCTCTCGGATCCAACTGGTCTTCTTGTTGTGTTTCGTTGGGTACATTCGACTGGTGCGTTGAGCATCTTCCGTCAGATGATTTTTTCTCGGGCTTATTGGCTAGTGTGCTCAACCACTTTGAAAAAATAAAACCAGACAAGTCACTATGGTTTATCAGAAAAAAGCTCCAATACCTGACGCCGTCGGCTTTCGTCACTAAGCCCATCGAACCCATCCCACGGCAATTTGATCCCAGTATTTCCATTGTTCACACGGTTTGTTCAAATGTCGTGAAGCTTATTCTGCTCTGTGCCACCAGTTCCCTAACATGATCGCTTTCATCCCTGCTATCCACGTTTCTCCTCGTTGTCATCAGCAGTTGACAAAGGTTCCCCGTTGAAATGAAAAAAGATCTAATAGTTTTTGTCGTGTTTTTGGACCGACGAACATCCATAAAAATGTACTAATTGTAAGCCTCCTCCTGCTTCTTTCAGTATCATTTTGATTATTTGGAGTTGTCATCATTGCCTGCTAGTCCAGTCCTTACAATTTCATTGTGTGTTTTCCTCTCCCCATCGGCTAAGTTCAAGGAATAGGAACCAAAGATCATCGTATCCTAGCCCTGAATTTTTTTACTTTGCTCTTCACACTTATAGCATTTCAAGGAACTGTTTCCATCACACTAAAGATGTTTTACTGTCTTGTCTCAGTATCATAACACATGTGGTACACTGAGTGATACAAATCCATCTCAACGACTTAAATTTGTGGACAGAATAACAACCTCTAGCTTCCTCTAGAATTAAACTTAAATACTTCTATCTTTGCTCAAAATGATAACAGTGAAAGTCCTCCCTAGATGTACATCACGCTTGTCACAATCAACAGGTTACAGTCAGAAAGACAAGCGAAACTATTTTGAAACGAAGCGATACCCATATAGCATCAAAAGACGGGTACGGAAACGTTGTGAAATAAAGCCCGTTGCATAAAACGGGAAATGAACCGCCATACCAGGTAGCCGCTACAATGGATATAGAAAACATCTCATTTGGAGCCTCCTGTTTTCTGAATTCTGATTCAGGAGAACGAAGTCAAGCTGGAAGAAGCTCTTCAGCTACCAGAAACTAAATTATGGACTGGACAAACCCACAACATTTTCTTCCAGGCAATTTGAACCATTCAGAATGTCTTTTACCACAGAAATCCGATGGTTGTGATATTTATTGGGTCAAAGTTGATCTCAATTACACTTGGGAATTGTTTCATGCACCGGTCACTTCAACCATTATTTTGAAAATTCCGTAGCAGGGTAAACATATGTGGCATACCCTAATGATGGAAAACGATTTCGAACAGACATTCCGGTAAGGAGTGTGTAAGCGCATACTTTCTAAGCGGCTGTGAAAAATAAACTCCCTCCCGAAAATTTCCCCTACCCGCATTTCATCTTCTAGTGCTAGAGGTTTCGTGAGCTAAGCAGTCGATCGGACTTTGGTGTCTCAGGTTGAAAAATGTCTCTAGACACCAAATGAAAACCCTGGCCCTCCAAAATCTTGAAAAAAATGGACTCTGCTAAACATTCTGTTGAAGGCAGAAATAAACTCCCTCCCGAAAATTTCCCCTACCCGCATTTCATCTTCTAGTGCTAGAGGTTTCGTGAGCTAAGCAGTCGATCGGACTTTGGTGTCTCAGGTTGAAAAATGTCTCTAGACACCAAATGAAAACCCTGGCCCTCCAAAATCTTGAAAAAAATGGACTCTGCTAAACATTCTGTTTGAAGGCAGAAGGACATAGAATAAATAAGGTCAATTGTCCAGCCTTGTCAGAAAAATATTATATTCACAATCCAAAATTCCTAAAATTCTAGAGGATAATCCTTCAGGGAGTAGGTGCCACTCAGCTTGATTTACTTTCTTTGTTGTGCGTAGATGATTCTTTGATGTTGCCATTTCGTGCAACGTAAAATACATATGCGTGCGAACATAAATAAGTAGCATGGGTATTCGCTGCACTCCCTTTTAGTGAAACATTATAAGATTAGTAAAAAAATCTTCGACAGTCCACTGTCGGATTCTCCATTTTAGGGCTCAACAGATATGCCTAACCCCAGAACTGCAAGTCAAGATTTGGGCCACGGTGAAATTAAGGCAGTGAGCTGAACTTCAACATAAGTGCACCTTCTGCTGCTTTTTAAATCATCATAATCTGGCTCACATTTTACTCCATGATTTTTACTAATTATTTGGTATTAATTATTAAGTATTACTATTTTATGGACAGTATTTCTTTGCCCTAAATATTGTTCAAAAAGAAACACTTTTTGCCTAAAACCAGACTAGTAAGTGAAGTAACGTTTATCTCTTCTCATTATCTAAATCTTCCAGTTCTGAAGCCTTCTGCTCCGAAAGCCTTGAGTTACTGCACACAGGTATGTGTAGGCACTCTTGCATTTTTTCCTACTATGCATCCTCACTGGTGAAGTTTCGTAGATTTTTGTCTGTCCACTTATTTTTATTTGCTTGGTAAAATTTCGTATTCATTTGCCTGACTCTCGTAATTGTAATTTTATTGTACCTCTTAGGGTCAGTGTCATTCTCCAAATGCCACAATCTCCACCTGGTTTAAAGCCCTCTCTAGGCAATATACACTCATATGCAAACTAGGCAATTTAGGTTTCAGCAAGCACAGTACGTAAAAGCATAGGTAACAATGTGGTTTGTGCCGGAAATCCAGTACAAAAATCCAATACAATAAATAAGGAGGAGAAACATATTTACTATAATCGAGACGGAGGTATGGTATTTATTCAGGGCTAAGCGGCGGCTAATCGATGTCAGTGGCGTTCGTGCTGTCAGTTTCTTTTCAGATTGTCTGATTGAGCGGTTGGAGGTGTAGGCGCCTCAGTATGCTTGACATAGGCCAGCACTAGGTCCCATCCCTCACCCACTCTTTTTCTCTTCTCTTCACAGTAGGGCTTTTAATACAATTATATATATATATATATA